GTTTCAAGGGTTTGATGAGAAGCCATATTGAAAGAGTTGTGAAGATTTTAATGCAGAAACTGGATTGGGGGAGTGTGGCTTCTTGAAGTTGCCACAAGCTCAGAGCACGTGGATTTATAAATGGAAAGACAAGACAAAGACTAGGACTAAGTTCCCATGTCTGATGATTGGAAGAAACAAAATTACTTAGGTGTTACCGTGAAAGATTACATAGAAGGGTAACGTTTAAACCTATGATCTCGTCACATCTCATGCTTCAAACAACTCCATTATTTCTTTTACTAAATATTCAATTCAAACTCGTGTTTTCTTCTGCTGGTTCTCTATGTTTGAAACTACAGAATACAAGATTCTTTCTTGTCTTTTTCGGGTTGATCCTCATTGCTTTCTAAGGTAAGATTCTTACCTGTGTTTTCTTAGCTTCTTTTCCAGTTATTTATCTGTTGTATCTTGTAAAGGATATTCCATGCAGATTGGTAGATTGGTCAATCCAACCCAAGTGCTCTTTTCTGCCGACAGCGTTACATTTTCTCCTCCTTCTGATCAACACCAACAATTTCTCCATATATATATATATATATATATATATGTTGACAAATTCTTCTTTCCATCAAAAGTTTGAATAATTCTTTTCATACTAGGGTGTGTGGCTTTCTTCTAGGGTGATTGGTATTTGATTATACAGAGGCATATTACATATACCTTCATACATGAAATTATTTGTTTGCAGGTAATTACAACTACAAATGACATGATTCACTGGTTTATCATGATTGCATATATGGAGCTCACCGAGATATTCGATGCTGAAAGGCCAGGAAAACAATGCACTGCGTTAGATCCTATATTTGATGAATCGCCATAAGCACAAAGTTCCCGGGTGGATTGTAGTTAACAATCATTAAGCAAAACCAAAGAACTAAGACCATAACATGGTATTAAGGAAAGAAAAAGTACATATGGCGATTAATGCATTTAAAGGTGTAATTGTACCCTATCGATAGCCATCCCTCTTGTCTTGCTCCTCAGCTTCCTTGTTAGCAGCTTTGACAGATT